ATAGTAGGAACTGCAGATGCTGGAGAATCTGAGATAACAAGGCGTAGAGCTGGAAGAACACAGCAGGCCAAGCAGCATCAGAGGAACAGGAAAGCTGATATTTCGGGCCTAGACCCTGCTTCAGAAACGTCAACTTGCCTGCTGAGCTTATCCAGCTGTACACCTTGTTATCTCAATGTGACATCGGAACTGCTTGTCCCACAGCCAATCAAAGGACGCGGGGCGGGCCGCAACAATCTCCTTCGGGCAGAGGGTGGGGTGCGGTTATTCTTCCAACCAATCAGGGAGACACAGGAACGCTGGAATTCGCGCCTCAATTGGAGACAGTGAGGAGCAGGATTCGGCCTCCAACCAATCAGTGAACGAGAAGGCAGGTCTGACAACGTGACCAGAGCATGCGCCGTAGGTGCGCTGGAGCGAGAACGTTGTGCTCTGGACGGAATGGAGTATTGCTTTCTGTCCATTCTTTATACAGCGCGTTCAATGGGAAGGATTCCCAGATCATCAATTCCAACCAGATATGACAGCAAGGTCTAACAGAGTCACTGTTTTCAGCAGCATCTCAGTGTTATCTGTCTTTCACCGTGCAAGGTAAAATGTTTGTCTGTAGCGTCTGTGGGAAAAGATTTCTGAGATCAGTGTCACCGGAAAAGTTCCGAGAAATTCAAAATCGTGTGCAGGGTAGCCCCGGAGGATCTGCCTGGGTATCACAATTTAGGAAGGACACTCTGGACCTTCCTAGAGAGGCAGCTCAGCTTTACTCCAATGGTTCCTGAACTGAAAGGTTTTATTACGAGCAGCAGTTGCAGAAATCAGTGTTAGATTCATTATGACACAGAAGTAATTTAGCCGATTTCATCAATGCCAGCTTTCTGTACAGAAATGCAATCTCTCAAATTCCCATGCTCCCTCCCCAAAGTTCATTTCAATTCAATGCTTATCTAATTTTCTCTGTGATGTCATTGATTCTCTTTGTTTCCATCAGGAAGGAGAAAGGTCTGTGTCGTTCCACTCATTCTTGGGGACGGGGGGAGAGGGGAGAGCGTTATTCCCCTGTAACTGCCGTTGCTGAATAGCACAGTTTGGAAATATATTAGCCTGAAGATATAAACTCCATCTGCCATTCCTCAGCCCAATGACCCAGTTGATCAAAATCTCTTTGTAATCAAGAAAACGATTAGGTTGTATCCTTTATTATGACAAAAATTGAACATAGATGTAAGGGTATCTGCTTCATTTGTAAAGAGAATTGGTGAGACCATATCTTGAATAAAGTCTGCAGGTTTTGGCCATCTTCTGTAAATTTATTGAAGATGTTTCAGAGGAAGTTTTATGAGAATCTGGAATCAATGAGTTGTCTAAGGAGGATAGGCTGGGCAGGCAAAAAGGAGGTGGATAAGAACTACTGATTAACACAGACAAGTAATGTGACCGTAAGCAAGGATATCGGCTGTGGTGAAGTAGAATATATGGAACAAAAACAGAAATTGCTGGATAAGCTCAGCAGGTCTGGCAGCATCTGTGGAGAGAAATCAGGCTTAAAGTTTCAGGTCGAGAGACCCTTCCTCGGACCAGAAATATTAACTCTTATTTCTCTCCAAGTGCTGCCAGTAGACCTGCTGAGCTTGTCTTGCAAATTATGTTCTTATTTCTGATTTACATCATTCACAGTTTTTTTTCGTTTTTGTAGAATATGAGTTGTGCTTAGAAACAATAATGGTTAATAAGTGAGAATAAGGTTGCATGTAGATTCAAAAATGCAGGAGCAATATTGGGAAAGGTATTAGAATTGAATTTAGAGATGCAAGTAATAAGGTTAGGGCCGTAAATATGGGTGACTTTAATCTGCATGTAAATTGAGCAAATCAAATTAGTAGCAATAAAATACAGGAGGCATTGTTAGCATGTATATAGAACAGTTTTATGAATCAATACAGCGAGGAAGCAACTGGGTATTGGGTAATGAGAAAAGAATAATTGAAAATAAAGTTGAGCATGGGGCCCTTAGGAAAGAGTAACCACAATAAGATAGAATTCTTCCATTAAGATGGAGGGTGATGTTGTTCTTTCTGAGACTAGAGTCCTGTAATTAAATAAAGAAAATTTACAATGACATGAGGTGTGAAATGGCTGTGATAAATCACGGGTCAGTATTTAAATGGGTTTGGGGCAATAGTCCATGCACTGTGAATAGATCATGGCAAACATTTAAACAAAAATTATTCATTCCAGCCTGGCATGAGAACAAAATGGGAAATATGGTCAAACAATGGGGAAAATGAGGAAACAATGGTCAATATTCAATTTGCCAAATAAATCAACCGACCTGAAGATTGGGAACAGTTTAGAATTCAGCAAAGGGAGACAAAAGGATTGATTAATAGGCAGAAAATAGAGTATGAGAGTATCCTTGCAGGGACCATACAAACCAAAAGTTTTCTTTTATTCATTCACAGAATGTGGACATCGCTGGCTAAGCCAGAATATATTCCCCATCTGTGATTGCTGAGAGGGCTGTCAAGACTTAACTGCATTGCTGTTGGGCTGGAGTCAGGTGTAGGCCAGACATGGTGAGGATGACTGTCCTTTACAGGAAAGAAACATGAATGAACCAGATGGGATTTTCCTGACAATCAATGGTTTCATGATCATCATTAAACTTTTAATTTAACAGAGGGCGGCTCGCATATCGAATGAACTTCCCGAGGAGTTTGAACATTTAAAATGTCACTCATTTAAAAGTGTGAACTCGCTGGTGTGTGATGTGTATATTACTAAGTGAATCCCTTCTCACACAGGGAGCAGGTGAATGTCCTCTCTCCATGTGAACACGTTGGTGAATTTGCAGCACAGAGCAGTGACTGAACAGTACTCGCATTTCTAAAGTTTCCCCCCACAGTGTGACTGCATTAGTGGTTCTTGAGGCCAGTTGTTTGGCTGAAGCCTTTTCGACAGACAAAACTTGTCTATCTGTTCTGCCAACAGTGAATGGTGTTTTCTCCTTCCATGTTTAAAACCTGTTGGTATTCCGGTTGTGATTAAACTGGGTGACTCCATCAGATCATGATATTACATTGGTTTCAGTTTCCTGAATGCAAATTCTCCTCTTTTCATACCGTATGAAATTGATTGAAAAACAGAAAAAAAAAAGAACGAGAGTCAGAGTCAGACAGCATGGAAACAGACCCTTTGGTTCAACCAGTCCATGCCGACCATAATCTTAAACTAAACTAGCCCCACCTGCCTCCAATTGGCTGATACGCCTCCAAATATTTCTCATTCACATACTTAGAGTCATAGAAATGTAAACAGACCCTTTGGTACAATTCATTCATGACAACCAGATATCAGAAATTAATCTAGTCCCGTTTGCCAGCATTTGGCTCATATCCCTCTAAACCCTTTCTATTCATATACCCATCCAGATGCCTTTTAAATGTTGTGATTGTACGTGACTCCACCACTTCCTCTGGCAAGTCATTCTATACACGCACCACACTCTGCATGAAAATGTTGCCTCTTAGTTCCCTTTTAAATCTTTCCACTCTCATCTTAAACCAAAGCCCTTTAGTTTTGGACTCCCTTACCCTAGAGAAAAGACCTTGGTTATTCACCCTATCTATGTCATCATGACTTTATAAACTTTTATGAGGCCACCCTTCAGCTTCTGATGCTCCAGAGAAAATAATCCCAACCTATTCAGCATCTCCCTTCAATCCTGGCACTGTCCTTGTAAAGCTTTTCTGAAAACCCTTTTGGATTTCACAACATCTTTGTTATAGTATCTTTC